ATTAGTAGCATGGACATAACAGAGTATTCTGTTTCGCCCATGATATCCCTCCATGCGTTGCTATTCCTGAGGACTCAGATGTTATTCCTCTGTACCCAATAAATTCAATGCCATATCTCACCCTTCAAACTGACAACACAGCCATGCAAACACAACTGCTTCACGGTAGAAACACGAATGGGACAGAGGTACTCAAGCAAACGACTTTTGTACAAAGTTTGTTTGTACAAAGCTCTTTCTTTTTTATATCGGTTGCAAAAACAAATCATACTACAGTTACTCATTCGTTAGTGTTACCATTTTATTGTCCTTAAAATAGACTTTACTTATTGTATTAAGTATGGCAACAATATACCTTTGAATGGACATTTAAATTACTATTATTCGGCGTAACGGAAAAACGCTTTGTAGAAACAGAAAAAAATATCGGTAAATACTGTAGAAACGAGTAGTTGCCATAAGAAAAATTAGTTACACATATAAATAATAATATAAAATTCGCTATGTTCCTGCAGTGCCTTTGCGACAATAGAATAAATTATAAAAAGTGAACAACTTCCTTCGAGAGGGCTTTGACCATTGCTAGGGCTGCTACCTAACATAGTTATAACTGAATATCTTGTGACAATTGAAATTTGTATATATATATATATTTTTCGAAACCAAATCTTAAGCTGAATTCATAAGGTATATTTCATATAAATAAAGACACAAATTTCGATATGTAATTAAGAATCGTTGAAGAATTAAACAAATTATTGAACAGGAATATTATGGACAATACAAACATGATTATGGCTAATTTAACGGCTAACTAATAGGAAACAAAGAGTATGATAGGCAGTAAATTAACGAATGTACACTAGTGCTTCCTAAACTATTATAAATTACTCTGTTTGTCTCAGTCTCAACCAATTATTATGAAATTTACACGTATTATTTAGCAAAGAGAAGGACGCACGCTACTTTTTATTTCGTTCACTCGGACAACAGAGAAATCAAGATAATAATATTAGCTTAATTATAATATTAGGTTTAAACATAAAAAATCCAAATATTGTTATTTACATAAATACCTATCATTTCGTCCACATTTTACCTTCTATTCCTTCTATATAAGTTTGAGATACAAACATACGAGACTTAACGTATCCTGCGTCTTTGTCCGCGTGAATCAATATATACAATATTCCATGTGCTAAGTTTTTTTAATGGGTGAAAATGGCATGAAAACTCCGCCTGCGCTATCGGTATACACTGGCGGAGCACCAGTGAGAGATGATAGGTGAGGATGAAAAGACATGTCAGTTAGCCCATCGTGACGTTTTCAACGATAAATTTAATTACAATAGTTTCCAAGGGGAACCACGTGGAGGTCGACCTGATAGGATATATTGATAGCAATAAATACTAACCTCCCCATTACTAACAATCCCTCCCCTCCCCTCCTGTGTGCTCAGTTAGGATATAACCTACCCGTATACCAAATTTCATTAAAAACCGTTTAGTAATATTTGCGTGAAAGAGTAACAAACATGCATCCATCAATCGTTACGAACATTCGAGTTTATAATATTATTAGATCTTTCTTCACATGCAACGAAGGCGTTCTAGGAAATTACGATAAAACAGAGGACGCCACGTATACGCAGGATTAGAATAAATACTGGCTTTTTACTCTCACATCCAAAGGTTTTAAAGTTTGATTTTTCTTTAAATAGGCAACCCTAGCTATTAGTGCCGCGGTTCTACGTACTGTTGTTGGAAGGCTTCACAGATATGCATGACAATATTTACATTCGCGATAACGTTAACAGCGGAAAAGTGTGAATCGAAACACGAAAAGAGATAATGCCCTAACAGATAAACATAACAACGTCAAAACACCGAAAACTCACCGACTTGGTCGGATTCAAGATCAGCACGGTGCATATAAATAATGGGCGTCACAGTATATTCTGTGACGTCCGCGGTGCTGTTCATGTCTATAGGCAACGATTACCACTTACTACCAGGTGGTCTGTCAACTTATTCGCCGAAGTTGCAAGAAAGAAAAAACAACAAGAAGAATAACATATTCGTAGACATTATAGATCAAAAGTAATTTAATTAAAGTTTTTGAAAAAGGGGTCGCTTCTGGACGCCATTTATCTAAATCTATACTCTAAAATTAAAATTTCAAATTGTTCCATAACCTACAATGACCGTTCACCATCAGACGGACTGTATGCTTGTTAACCACCTTCGTGGTACAAAAAAAAAAAAAATAAAAATCAATGTGAACACTTTTCTAAGAGAATTAATTTATAATTAAATTATTGTAATTTAATTTATGATAGCTCATAAAACAGCAATTTTGCCAAATTATCAAATAAAAGTACAAATAATATTTAAAGAAATGGCCACAATATTTGGTTATTTAAAGAGGTCATTATTAAAATAAACACTATTAACAAATATTTGGAAAAAGTAAATAATATTAAGGGAAGTGAGTAAACTACATTAAGATTACATTTAAAATTAATGAGATAATTATAGCCAATTTTGCCCCCCCCCCCCATGTTTAATAAGCGTACACATATCGTTAGGAGACTCATAACACACGGCAATAAAAAAAAATATAAATGAATTAGGAACATCCTTTTAGAAGCAAAAATGTAACCATTATAATTAAACCATTGTTCTATTTTAATATTGTCTAACCTTTCACTCCCTTATTGGGGTCGATGCAGCGTATTTCCTTTTCTAATGTCCCCTTAAGTCATTAAAACGAAATAGGACAAAATGTCTATCATATTTTGATGTAAATTCTATCATAATGTGTTAAAAATATTATAGGGCACATTCATTTACTTTTAAAACGATTTTTAAAACATTAATCAATACACGGGAGTAGGAATTGCAAAAGTTTGTTATATTTTATATTTAACAAATGTTTTATCATAATATTGCCTTTCTTGTAACTCCCTTATTGGTGCAAATATTTTTCTTATCGAACGCTCCCATACAACATTAATAATAAGAAACGAAACAATATAAACTTTGTTATTTTTTTTTTCTACGAGTCACAACTACATTAAAAAATACACACACTGGCAAGATAATCTTCCAATCTTATATTTTGATATCGATATATCTTAGATGACGTCATGCTGGTTCCGTGTTAACTGATATCATTTATAACAAGGCATTGCTATATTTTATATAAGAATTGCATTTAATGTATGTTAGTAAAAATATTTGGACGTCTCAAAAGGAAGCTTTATACATTTTTTGTAAATACGAATTACTGGACTTAGATGGAAAGCAGGCGAAACATTCTTTTGGGACAATATTTAATGGAAATCCACGGAAAGTTACGGTAAAAGCTAGTTTTTCAATATATTCCTATTTATTCGTTTGACCACTTCTCTCAACGAGCCGTTAGATTATGATCAACCTGTTTACACATAGATTTAACGTCAAAAACCACAACAAACTGATTTTACATATAGGTAATTCAATCGTGAATTTTATTACTCTCACTATAAGGTCGAGTTTCGTTATAGCAGTAGCTGGAGTGCAGCAGTGACTTAAGTATGACGTTATAGCAAAGTGAGATAAGTCAAAAATACATTTTTATTTTGTTCATGACATATAAGTAATATAATATCTGTTAAATATTATTGTTGCATCAACTGAATGTTAATGTTCAGCTTTTTAAATTTATGTATAGCTACTTCAAAATACGTAAATGTATTATTTATATTAATTAATAAAATCTATCCTCTTGCACGTCAATTTGTTAATCATATTAGCAGTTAGGGAATAATAAGAGCATTTTCCTGTTTTAATAAATTGATTGTAAATACTTAATTTACAATAACAAATTGCAAAAACATATTGAATGTTGTTAACACATGTTAGAAATCTGAAATATATTATTATTAACAGTTAGACGCTGTCAAACGGCTTCAAAGAAATTATGACGCTGTATTTAATACCTAAAAGAGTGATTTTCGCTTTATTACTTAACACTTTTGGTATTTACGTTTTAATATTTTAAGAAGGGCATAAATATTATATTCATTACATGAAAGGCAATTGCAGGCAATTTTATTGCGTTTTGTGAAATCATCCTGTTTATTTATAAAATTAACAATGACGACAGGTTTTGCTAATCTGAATACCTAAAGGAAATTTGTGTGCAAAACGAATTGGCATCACAGTTTATTCTAATTGAAGAAAAAAGTGAAATACTCTGACATAACCGCAATGTGAAATCATACAACAAAATAAATGACTTCATTGCCGGCTAGGTACGTCATTTTATTCTGACTAATTCTTTATTTACTGAATTAATTGCTGTATTAAATAAATACTGCAAGCAACAAGCTGTTCAAATGATGATTTAATCGTTAATTAAAATTTAAAAAGGTAATGCCGTTAAAATATAACTAATGATACTCTTGCGTTGAAGTCTTTTGCCCAATGGGCCTAATTCTGAAAGTCATTTTACTGTACTTTATTATCTCAAAAATCAATAAATTCAATGGCAAAGACACAGATATTCGGAGTGTGATTGGATGGAATCATTAATGGTTTTTGTAAAATATTTTTATTAGTAAATTATAGAGAGAAATTTACGAAAAACATTTCAGAGATGGGTTCATTGTAATCTAATCGGCCGTGAAAAGCATTAGAAAAGTATTTAATGTAGGTAAAAAATTAAAATAAACATACTAAAAAACACCATAGACAAAACACCTAAATTGGCACCTTGACGACTTATTAGTAAGAGCAATGTAAATACCCGATAATTATTTTGCAATTTACATCACAGACGTGACGTAGACTCACACCATCGGCACAGCTAATAAAAACATCTCAATAATAGCCGCGAATACATTTTATAACCTCAAAAAACGTTACGGTAACCGCTTTGAAAATACCGAAATCCTCGTCTTATTGCAGTTTGCGTTGATAACACAAAATGGTGATTCCAAATTTGAAAATCAAACCTCATAAAGAACTTTTTTGTTAGCACACATAATACACTGAACACAAAAGTGGACACGTACGGTTATTTTTAATAAACTGACCGAGAAATTCGTAGATACAAAATGGCGGCGATGTGCAATCGTACCGCGACGCCGAGCATCGGCCAACTGATCGTGTAGCGACTAGCGAGAACTGTCAAACTGGCTTGAAACAGTGGGCACGTGTGAGTGTTGATTACACGTCACGCTCGTTTGTGTGCGTATGGTTAACGAAGGCTTGAATGGATAGGTGTTGTGGTGGCTTCGTCCCACTGTTGACTTCTGAGTCAGCACAGAGTGGGATGGAAAAAATAATTATTATTCAAATTTACAGTGCCAGTTTCAGATCGGACATTTCTAATCTTTAGACCAAGGTCGAAACGCCGACACGTAAAGGGGAAAATTGTATATTTAAACCCGTTTTTAATTGGGTGTTGGAAGGTTAGATCACCTTTATTGTCCTAATGAAAGGGAAACAAGACAGCTGACAGATGGGTATTTATTAACTAAGATAATAATGGGTATGTTGTGACTGGCAAAAAATATAGGAATATGTGTTAACGTTACAAACGTTATTAAAAACAATATGACCTTGAAACTTGCTTCATAAATAATAATATATATTAAATTATAGCAACAGAACAAAATACTTGGTCAAATATTAATTTATTAAAGAAAACAAAAACTATAGGCATTTTATTACAATTTATTTAAATGCAATATAGCGTGGGCAGGTCTGGGACTGTTTACATTTTTACTCTGTTGACATTTTACGATTGCTGTCATATTTTTATGGTATATAAATACAGGGTGTAATCGAAATCATTAGTGTCTTTTTAATAATTTTCTGCCACGGACATAGAACACTTACAAAAATGCTATGCTTGCAAACATTTGACATATAGAAACATGAGTCGGCAAACTATTCAAAGAGAATATTCTCAATTCGGTGGTAATTTTATATATATATATATATATATATATATATATATATATATATATATATTTGTTGCCTAATAACTCCGTCAGTTATAAACCGATTTGGAAACTTTTTTTTTTATCTAAAAGGATATATTTACAAATTGGTCTCATAGACATTTGTATCCAAATCAATTAAATCAAATTAATTAAATTAATCAAAAAGTTTAGTTTCTAAATCAAAATAACTGGTTTTGCCACAAGTGAAGTCAGTTTTTTTTATGTAATCTTATATTATTTCATTTCATTTCCTTAAAAGAAAGCACGATAAAACTACAACTGGCATTGTATGGGAAAACAATGATGTTGTTTAAAAAAACTGTCTTTAAAATAATAACTTTTAAGGATCAACACCTGAGTCCTCAGGAATGGCAACACATGGTGGTGTATCATAGGCGAAACGGTATACTCTGTTATGTCCATGGTACTGCTCATGTCAATAAGCGACGGTTACCATTTTACATTAGATGAGCCGTCAATTTGTTTGCCATTCTAAGTTGTATAAAAAAAAAAGTTTCTTGTAAATTTTTCTCAATAGATAAGAAAATACCATACAATATACATATATAAAAAATTTACGAATTAAAACAGTTTATAAATAAGTATATTTAAATTAAAACAATTTCTATTCAATTCAATTCCAATCACGCTTAAACAATCGAATGGAATTTAAATTCTATTTGGTATATAATTAGACAGTGTCCTGGATAAATATATATGTAGCAGTCAAAACTCTTAACCAGTCAAAAGTACTATTGACTAGCAAAATCAGTCAATAATAACTGTGACTAAAATAACAGTTAAAAGTACCTAAACTAACCTAACTGCGAATTTGCGGGAGGAAAGGGATTGTTAGTGATGGGGTCAAATAGTCCTATTACTAGCAATATACCCTGTCAGGTCGACCTCCACGCGGTTCCCCCTGGAAACCATCGTGACTAATTCTAGTTTAATTCGTCAGGATGGGCTAACTGACGTACTTTCATCTTCATCTGTCATCTCTCACTGGTGCTCCGCCAGTGTATATCGATAGCGCAGACGGGGTTACCATACCATTATCAACCATTAAAAAAAAACCGCGAATTTGCAGTCAAAAGTACTAATAACTAATAATTTTCAGTCAAAACCACTTTTGACCATCCTGTTCAGTCAAAAGTACTTTTCACTGATTTTGCTAGTCAATAGTAGTTTTGACTGGTTAAGAGTTTTGACTGCAACATATACACTTTATCCTATTCATGTGAACAAAATAATACTTTTTGTTTGCTTGTTTTTTTTACAGCAATACCGGTTTTGAAGAAATTTGGTATGGGATACTTCATACTATGAAGAAAAACCCTAGATGTTTCTTACTAGTCATTACTCATGACATCATCACTATCATCATCATCAAATCAGTTGTTAGCTTATCACTGAACATAGACCGACATACAGCGAGTTTTGCTAGTAGTTGCCACGCTTGGTAAGCGCTTTTTAGAGCTGTTTTAAGAAGGACGCTCCTGTTTATTTTTTACCATTAAGTTCCTTTAGTCGCTTCTTACGAGACTCATAGGAAAGGAAGGGGTGGCCTATTCTTTGCCGGGACCACACGTCCAATACGGTTCAAGACATACTGACCAGGACATATTGATTAACTGATTAAAAACTAGCTTATGTTCTTCTCCATCTCAAGGACATATACATGTAATATGTATGTAATAATAATAATACATATACATGTAATGCCAAATTTCATAATTATTGGTTAACCCCTTAGAGTATATAGATAGAGTATCTCCATACAAATGTTTCGAGAAAAACAGGTCCAGTTTTCATACAATTTTATGTGATAAATAGTTATGAGTAATTCCTTTGTAACTTCTATATTTATTTTGTTTTATAATTTCTGCACTTTTTTTTATGCGTAAACACTCATTTTATTTATTAAATAGTACGTCAAGATACATTTTATCCGTAAGTATACAGAACACTGATAAAAATACGAGTCAGCTAATCAAATGTCAAATTAGCTGACTCGTTTTCTTTGACAAAAACTTGAGCCGTTTTTGAGAGTCGATACTCTATCTATATAATCTAAGGTTGACCCATTAAAGCGTCAAGAGGTAACAAACAAACACGCTTTTCCGTTTATAATAATACTAACTAGCTTTTACATACGACTTCGACCACGTAAACAGGATAAAAGTAGCCTATTCTTTCTCCATTCCATATTGTCCGTGAATATCAAATTTCATAGTGATTTATTAAGCAGTTAAACCGCTTAAAGGTAACGTTAACATTTACTAAACTAAGAAAGGTTAAACCAATCCTTAATAGGGCAAAATGGGGCAAACAAGTTCATGGTAAATACTGGTCCAATTAATGATACCATGACGTTGAAGTAACCAGAGACATGGCTGTGTTTCGGTTTGAAGGGTTTTTTTTAATCAATGATAATGGAATGGTAACCCCACCCGCGCTGTCGGTATATACCGGCGGGGCACCAGTGAAGAATGATAGGTGAGGATGAAGTAGGTTAGTTAGCCCATCGTGACGAATTCAACAAGAATTGTTCACGATGGTTTCCAGGTGGAACCACGTGGAGGTCCACCTAATAATGCATATTGCTAGCAATGAGGCTGTCAAACTCCATTGCTAACAATCCTTTGAGAAATAAAACCTGAGTCCTCAGGAATGGCAACACATGGGAGGTATCATGGGCGAAACAGTATACTCTGTTATGTCCATAGTGCTGTTCCTGTCTAAAGGCAACGGCTACCACTTTCCATCAGGTGGGCTCAGCTTGTTTGCCATTCTAAGTTGTATAAAAAAACTACAGTTTCAACGCTGTTACACTGCCTTACTGACCTATTTTGACTTATTGGCTTAGCGACTTACGTTGAATTACCTCATTTAATAATAACAGCTTAAATTAGCGATGACTGTTATATTTGTGGTTGGACAAATATTGCATTATTTGACTTACGCTATTTTGGTATGATGACGCGTTTTCTTGAAGGGTCTTTACATAACTAGTTTGTTGGTCGACAACTCTCCTAAATCCACTAATATTTATAAATGAGAAAGTTTGTCAAGATATTTAGATGTTTGAATATTTAATATATTTTTAATGCACTTAGAAATACAGTAGATAATATCAGTTATTACAAATAATATAAGCAAAGGTGAACTTATCTCTAGAAGAGATCTCTTCCACTCATCCCAACGCAGTGGCACAGAAAGACTTGAGTGGGCATCATTAGTGCAAGGGAGTAATGACACAAAACAAATATATGTTATATATGTTCGTTATTAAACAAATAAAAAACGTAAACTTTTTTACAACAAAATTAATTTAAAACACTGTTTATTTAAACAAATTTTAATAAACATTTGTTTAAATATTATTTTATCAGTATGATTGTTTATTTGTAAATTTATAAATATTACAATAAAATTTACTACATTTAGAATGTTTTATTTTTCATTAGCTTTCGTCAGCTACGAGTCTAATTTATATACCACTGCGATGGCAAACAAACATACGGCCCACCTGATGGTAAAGGTTTACCGTGACCTATAAACGCCTGCATTATCAGGGGCCGTGGCCGTGGGCATCATATAGAACAAGTCCCCTGAGCACAGTCCGTTATACAAGCGGTAGAATACGCAGAGTGAGGAAAAATCTCTCCTAAGACTTAAGACTTTGATACCGCTTGTAAGCCTGGGATCATCAACATTTCTCATTCTCTTATTCGTCGTTGCATTGAGTAGAAGAGTTCGAACTGGTATCTAGGTGTTTCCTAGGTGCACCCATAAGTGAGAGCAATTACAATTTTATTATGTTATAAAATAAAATTAATAAAGTAAAAGTATTACCCAGTACTATTTCTCTCTTATTCATAAAAACTAAAACCTCCTACAGCCTTGTTTTTACTTTTAAACAGTTTTGTCACTTTCTTTCAAATTAAGAATTTAGTGTAAAAAAAAAAGACAAAACTCATCAATAGCTAAAATAGATTTATGGAGCGTGTTCAAAATTAACCTTTTTATATACTTTGACAATTGTAGTTTTTTTATAAAAAAGAAAATTTGTAAACAATTGAAATAGAACAAAAAATACATCAAGTCAACAGACGGCAATTTTATTTACAATTAATATAAAT